TGGCAACAAAAAAAAAAACAAGCCAAAAGTTGAAAACTTTTTAACTTTTCTTTTTAAAGAGTTTGCGGATCTAAACGCAAACTGTTTAATTACTTAACAGTTTGTAAATCATTTGTTAAAATTCTACACAAATTTATTTTGCTGCTTCCCAGTTGATTGACAGACTGGCTGATTGCTTGACTGATTAAGCAAATTGAAAAAAAAATTGGAAAAAACAACAATCTGTTAAAGCCAAGTGTCATTTGTAATTTTTGTCATTTCATGTAATGGGATATATTAAGGTATATGAGTTTCTCATCCAGGTCCACTGCAGAGTCAATCTAGCTCTGCCCGTCTATCTCGCGAAATCTTAATGCATCCACACAATATGGAGCTTAAATTAAACTTTTTTCCCCATTAAGTTAAGACTTTTGAACTCTGGATATTCTCCAGTCTGGCAATCCCAACCGCTGCACTTTAACTTGCTTACTAGCTTACAGGGTATTGTCTATTGTTGGCCCCTACTTTTCCTTAAGGTTATTTTCATTTCACACTCTCCATGTGTGCATCGCTTCAATGTTGCCCTTAAGTATATATCAGAGCTACGCCCAGTCCACAGCGCTATTAACGCCGCCCGTATTTATTTTTTTTTGGTAGCCATAAGTCAAATGTGGCTTAAAAAAGTCAGAAGGCCAAGAAAACGTTAGACGAACGCATAATTGTGCAGCGAACTGTATTAAACAGGGTCATATGCACAATTATAAGAATAACAAGAGACGACAACAACAACAACAACAACAAGTGGCACAACATCTTGATTCTATTTTGCTTTGTTTACCAAGCGGAAGTCTTTGAAAGCAGCTTCCAAAAAAGAAGAGCTCAGTTCAGTTGCCACGCCCCTCATTGGCGTCATGGCTGGGCGGCTGCGTCTCGGTCGAGAGGCACTCGAACGGAAAGCGCTTTGCTTTTTTGCTTTTATATATTTCTTTTACACAAAAGACTAGCATTTATATATATATATATATATATATATATGTATATATAAATATTATTGTTGCTTTACTCAAAATTTTTATTTAATTGAACGAATTCACAATTTTAGCAACAGCAATAATTTGCTCTAATTGATGTGATATTGTTATGTGCTCGCTTAGGGACAATTGTAGGCGGGGTATATTGGCTTTTGCAGCACGTGAGACGTGAGAAACCAAGTTCATGATATTTATTCACTATAAATATTATATCTATAACTATATATATTATCTTCTCAGCTGGGGCTTCCGCAATTTTATTACATTTTCTCTGCTCTTCCTTTCTTATGGAGACGCGTCTCTATCCCAGTCATGGCTAGCAATCTACAGACTTAGGTTGCCAAAGACCTGTTTGCATGGTGTAAGGCGTAAGGCGGAGTGGCTGCGCCTTCTTTCGTTTACCCATCGCCACAGCTGCTATTGCAGCTGCTTGAGGCTGGCATTGCAAATCATAAAAGCTGCCAATCGCATTGCCACTGAACAACTAATTCCGTAATTACAAATCCATAAATCAATGCTCACGAGGGTGGCTGCAGGGGTGTTCTGCATTCAAGTTCTTGGCAAAAATCAATACGCTACCTCTCATTTGCCCTTTTGCGCCTCACTCAGCTTGCATGCTCCGTGCTGCAACGCACTTGGGATCCAATAAGTGAGGTCATTTATGTAGTCTGGCATACCCCGGCTTACCCTCTACTCATTGCTTAGGCGCTTTACCTGCGCCATTACATGCCGGGTTGTTGATAAGCAAAAGAGGGCAGACAGCGAAAGGGTCATTGGGCCTGAGCAAGGGACGAGTAAGAAAGAAAAGCTGTCAGTGCGCATTTCCCTTCTTCACTACAGGACTCAATTTATAATTTGCTCGAGTTGCGTTGCATTTTAATCGAACTTCATATACGATATATACATATATATATATATATATATATATATATATATATATATATAAATGTATATATATGCCTGTGTGTGGCTTCCGTTGGCTGTTCAATATATTTGCGAAAGAACCCGAACTGCAGACGTATCCGAGTTGATTTAGTTGATAATGCGATTTCTAGCCACACAGACTTTGCATTTCTTGTGGTTAATGGAAAAGGGTCCAAACAGCGGGGGCTTCGGGTCTCAAGTTAATTGGCAAACAGATAAGCTGCAAGTCTTTGCCATTAGCTGGCAAAGTTAATTTATGCAAATGCCTCATACACACTGTTTAAATACTTGTGTCATTAGGACACAGCGATAAACGAGGCTAAGCTAAAAGCTAAAGGCTAAGCCAAAAGCAAATCTCGCAGGCACCGCAAACTTCAATTTGCAAAATGTGCTCAACCACACACACAGGGACAGAGACGGAGACAGCTACAGAGAGAGAGAGAGAGAGAAAGAGAGAGAGAAATATAGGTAGGGAGAGCGATGGGGAGAAAAGGAGACAGACTGTATCTGGTCAAGATGCAGATACCACATCAAAAGCATTTTACATTCGTTCGCATAAATCTGATTTAATTAATTTAACGTGTCCACAGAATTGGATTTCAATTTCCCAAAACGAGTTGCAAAATATTTTAAAGGCATCACATGTAATTTTATCTTGATTTCCACCTTTTTTTGAACTCCCATGCACCGACCAAATTGATTTTGGCTCTTTCTACTCTAACTTCTCTGTCGCTCTCTCTAGCTATCTCCCTCACTCTTTGTATCTGTGTCTCGCTCTGCGATTGTTTTGGAATTGATATTGAAAGCTGTCAATTTGCATTTGACATCCAGTTTTCCAGTTCTCCAATTTGTGTGTTTTTATTTTTGCAAAAATGCACTTTTTTCCGCCATTTTGCCTTTACTTTTGCCTTCGCTCTGGCGGGTTTGTTTTTATTTCGTATACTGTGTATGTGAGAACATGTAGGTATATTAGAAGAGCATTTTGGAAAATGCGATATTTCTTAGTCAAACTTTGTAATTGTTAAATATCAAAAAAGTGAGCAGTAAACGTATACACAGCATATAACAATGTATGTATTTACACCAACAATCAATCTATATAACTCTTTTAGGTTGATCGATAAATATCGATTATTCAAGAACTGATTGTGCAAGTGTTGGCTCTATGAAAGATATACTCTCACAATAAATCAATCAAGCATTGCTCTACAATTGAAATCGATAAATATTTAAAATCGATTTTCGACAGAAAGCTTCAATTCTTAACAAACAGAAAGGAATATTATGCATTTCATGGAAGTAATCATTAGCAATCGATAAATATCGGTAAGACTTAATCGTCATTCTTTCACCTTCTCATTTGGTTCTTCTGCATAGAAAATGTAACTCCCTACTGGGTATCCATACCGTTGTCTTATCTCGATAGCTTTCAATATTTTGCGCAATTTTTTGACTGTTGATTTTTCCACCATTCGCCTTTGGTTTGGGTGCGAGTACAGGAAAATCTGCAGCAGCTCTGACTTTGATGTGTTTGACATTGTTATATTTTTTCGCTTTTCAAATTTTATTGTTTCGCTTTCGTTGCTGCTGCTGTTGCTGCTGCTGCACACGTGGCCCCAAAGAGCAGGTCTCGGTGCAAAGTGTTCAATCGGAAACAGAAGCAATGGCAACAACAACAACAACAACAGCTCGAACAGCAATTTGCGGAAACAGCATCACAATTTTAGTTGCTAATGTCGACGTCAACGACTTTGTCAGCTCTCAGTTCTATATGAAAAAAAATGTGTCAACTGCATGCAAATGGTTTAATGGGACACGTTAATTGAGCAGAATTTAAGGTAAGTCACATTAATTGTGAAGGCACATGAAGATGAAGGGAAATGTCTTTAAATCACATCAAACAATAGAATATTGAACAACAAGCATTCCAAGACAGAATTTACTGAGGTCGAATATTCATTTTAATTGACATCTATCTGTATAAGCTTCAAATGCAATAGGCAATAGTATTGTAATCGGGAGTGCTCGACTTCGGGACACCCTGAACCCTGCGGAGTTTTGCTACTCTTCCTTCATAAACACATAATAAATAAGAAATTCGCAAGAAGGAAAACACCTAATCGATTTCGATCGATAGATAATAGGGGAAAAGGAGGAGTTTTCGAAAGAGGAAAAGGAGGAAACAAACTCAAAGCACTGAAAATGATTTTAAACTGTTTTTTTTTTTTTTGCTGCGAATTCTAAGAGAAGATTTAGGACAGTATAAATTTCTAGCAGTCATATGACGAGACCCACAAAATTAGCTGAAAGCTTATTAAATATTCAGCAGCCGACATGAAGATGGCAAACAACAACGAGACAGAGGAGAAGGAAAGTAAGCCTGAGGGCTATGGAACTGTATTCAAATCTAGGCTACAACTTTTGCCTAATGCAATAAACGTGTTGGACCCACAGCCACATGTAAATGGAGAAAACACGAGCGCAACTGGGGCTACCGCCAGCAATTCCCCAGGAAGTCAACGCAACGACGTACACACAGACGCGCACGCACACGTGCATGTATGTGTGCCACTTGGAACACAATCAAATGCATGGGCCTAAGGATATTTTCATGTTGCTAACAATGAAAACTTACAGCAGAGACAGTCCCGGCAAGCGTGAGTGGGAAGCATAGACGTAGAGTTTATATTCTCTTTTTGATAGCTCATCCCATTTCCATGATCGATAATTGCTTTCGCAGAAAGATACCATGATCGATAATTGCTTTCGCAAAAAGATACCAATTTCGCAAAAACATAAATTATTTATTCTTTATTGTATTTTCCACGTCTTCTCCGAATCACATTACACCCTGATTACCCATTTCCAATGGGTTTGGCGTGTAACAAGTTCGCGGCGCAGTCAGCAGTCAGCAGAGCGCATGCCTCTGGGTATCTCCAAGTCGGGCATTCTCACATTTCGGTTACCAGCTCCCAATTCTGTGATTTGAAACTCTGCTGTGACATATTAAATCGAACTCAATCCAAGTGAGCTATGTTATACATATACATATACATGTATATATATCTCATTTTAGCACATATTTTTTGGTTATTACGTTACATCTGTTATATGTGTTAAGGAATACATTTTGTAATTGTGAAAATAAATTTGACGAATACTTTCGACGATTTGCTTAATTTTCGTAAATTTCAAGTATGTGCAAAGGTAACGGTGGTGGTGGTGGATCAAGTAATTGTTCGTTACGTGATTTGTCAAAGATCTTTGCGATATGGACTATAGTTGTAGGAGCTGGTGCTATATTAGTGTGTATATTACAGCTTAGTAAGTATTGATATATTATATAAGATATGTGATATATTATAATATATGATCTATAAAGACGAGTTGTATTATCCTAATGTATTATCTTCTCCATTATTAGCTGTAAAATTGAATTCTGAATACAAATACATTCAACATTTTACTTTTGTCTATTTGGGTTTCGCTGTTCTACATTTAATCAGTGGGTTAATCTTGATGTATGCGGTTATGAAAGTAAGTATACCACAAACAGGATTGTTAACCATCCATATCTTTTTCATTTTCATCCTCTATTCAGAAAAAGGCCTGCCTATTTCTACTTGGTATTATACTAAGTTCCATTTATCCTTACATCTTATTTTTCTGTATTGTACCACTAGGTAAGCTTAAGCCGCAACAATCTTTATAATCTACGACTCAAATAATTATTTATTCTTTAATTTAACTTCCCTTCTATTTAGGTCTTCAAATATTTTTTACTGTCGTTGGGTGCAGATATTATAGGGAGGAGTTACGCGGCAATTAACTCTAGATGTATTTTTATGTTGCTAACTATGAAAACTAAAGTATAGACGTGGAGTTTATATTCTATTTTGGATAGCTCATCACAAAAACACAAAGTATATATACTTTTTTGTATTTGCTACGTCTCCTTCTGTCTGCTATATACATTTTCCGAATCACATTATACCCTGTTTACCCATGTAAAATGGTTTTGGTGTGTAACAAGTTAGCGGCGCAATCAGCAATCAGCAGTCAGCGGAGCGCATGCCCCTGATTATCTCCAAGTCGGGCATTCTCACATTTCGGATACCAGCTCCCAATTCTGTGACATATGAAATCGAACTCAGTCCAAGTGAGCTTTGCTATATATATATATATATATATATATATATATATATATATATATATATATATATCTCATACATTTTAACACATATTATTGAATAATAGCGTTATATGTGTTATGTGTTGTGTTAAGAAATATATTTTATAATTGAGAAAATAAATTTGACGAACACATCCGACGACGCTGTGCGAAATTTTCGTAAATTTCAAGTATGTGTAAAGGCAAAGATGATGGTGGTGGTGGTGGATCATGTAATTGTGCGTTACGGAATGTGGCAATAACCTTTGCATGTTGGACTATATTTTTAGGAGCTGTAGGTATTTTATGTTGGGGATACTTTATCAGTAAGTATTGATATATTATATATATGTCTAATATATGGTCTATAAATACGATTTGTATCATCCATACTATCTTCTCCATTATTAGCATTAAAATATAAATATGAAGACAGAAGATCTTACGTGTTGTCTATTGTCTTATTGGCTTTGTCTATTCTACATTTAATCAGTGGGTTAATCTTGGTGTATGGGATTGTGAAAGTAAGTATACTACAAACAGGATTGTTAGCCATCCATATATTTTTTCATTTTCATCCTCTATTTAGAAAATAGCCCACATATTTCTAATTGGTATTATACTAAGTTCCATTTATCCTTACCTTCTAGTGGGCTTAATAATACCAGCAGGTAAGTTTAAGCAGCAACATTCTTCGTAATCTACGATTCGAATTATTATTCTTTAATTTAACTTCCCTTCTATTTAGCTCTTCAAGTCCTTTTTACTATCTGTGGCTGCCGCTATTTAAAAAAGGACTTAAACAGTGAGTCCCAGAAGTAAAATTGATTTTTTCTATCGTAAGACAAATTGTATAAGTAAAGTATCGAAATCGGCAATCGATTAGACATTCGAATAAATGTTGTATATATATAATGTTCTCCATATATTTACTTGATTCATATCTATATGTATATAATTTATATTAAGTTCTTTGTCTCGGTCCAGCGGCGTGAGCTCATAGATTGTGGTCTTATGAAGATAATGGTGGAGGCTTGACTTCGCCCCTTTCACTTACTGGCCTTGTGGCTCCGTTGCCTCAGTGCAAGTAGCTTTATTGTTAATCAATACGTGTTTCGTACGAGACTAAACTTAAATCTAGAATCCGAAGTGGCTAGAAGCTATTGCATTAAAGAGAATACAACAATAGGCATGCCGACTAAGCGCAAACGATAACGCGGCTCTTGCAACACGAGCAAGGGATCATATTACCGACTCTGACCGTTGCGATCAGGAAGTTGACCAGCCACATTCAGCAGTGTCAGCAGTATGCTCGCAATCGCTGACCCATGCTAAGGTGGACAATAAGGAGTCAAACTGTAACGTGTCTAATAACGTTTCGTTTTTCGCGCTGATGCAGTGAGCCCCTGGATCCACTGAAAAAAGGAATAATTTGTAGAGGGGCGAGGCCTAGCCCCCATATATGCCACTCTACTATATGCAAGATGTCTCCTAGCCGAACACACCTGACCGGAACAGGTTCGGTGTCTATGGGTTTTCGAGTTTGAGTCGCGCGAATATGGTAATACGAATTGGTAAAAATAGCAGTGAAGGTGTGTCTCTGCATGTGCGTAGGCGGGTATGTAAATATTTAATGTTTAAATTTAAAAATATAATTATATTTTGCCTGGGCGCGCAATCAGCATGATGTCCTGGCTTTGCGGCGTTGAATACTCCGTTTCTGGCTTCCTGCCAGTCAGCCTGCCAATTCAATTCGTTTGCATAAATTTTGCTGCTAGCGGGTGCGGGGAAGCAATGGGTGCGGTGGGCGTCTGGGGGTCTGCCGACCTACCGCTGTGTAGGTCAGAATACCGAGGCCCTGCGGCTCTTTTATGCTAACTATACGGCGGATATATCTATGCAGAGTTGACGCTGTTTGTTTTTATGGCTCGAGCTTCCTTGAAAATAAGTCAACGTAAGTACCAGATCGAAAAACTTTATCAGTTCATCTCTTCCATCTTTCTATCTCTCTAACTGTCCCCTCTTTACTATAGGGTATCTTCTAGTCAGTCACTGTTAAGTGCAACACTGACTTGTTTATTTCCCTATGCGAAATTCGATTTTAATGTGCCGGCAAATGCCTGAAATATTTGCAAGAGTGGTTGGGTGGGTGGGTGGTTGGTTGCGTGGGTGGTTGATTGGTTGTACTTTGGTGGTGGCGTCTTGGTTGCTGCCTGGCTTCTGCTCTTGTTTTGATTGTCTTGCTTTAAAACAATTTCGGCTATTTGTCTGTGTCTCAGTGGCATGCATAAATAATCAAAGCGAATGCAAATAAACAAAAGCCTTAACTGAGTTTGTTTTTCTTTGTGTTCTTAGCCTTAGTATAGAATATTGCTTTCAAATAAGCATAATTGCTAATTAAGTTGCAAGTTATCCCAGTTTGTGTGTGTCTTTAACTTGCTCAATAATTCAAAGAGCCGATTGACTTCAGAGCTGAGCCACGCAGGCTCCTCGGTGGGTCATAAATCATCATTTATATTATTAACAAGGGAATCCAAGATGGACAAAACACGAACACTTGCGTTTGTGTATGTGTGCGCGCGTGTGTGTGTGTGACCACAAATGCCATGGGAATGTAAGTCCGTTGTCCGTTGTCCGTGCCCAAAATATTTTGCTTGCGAAGAACATCAAACGTTGTTTGCCAGTACGAGAAGGACATGATCATTAATGTGTTGCATATTTATGGGCGCAGCGCGAGAAAGCCTTTTCCGGGCCAGCCAGCCAGTAAGTCATATATGAAGCCAAATTGAGGACCTGCGAAAGACAACAATTGCATGTGCGACTACAGTGGCTGTTAAATGTTAAATGTTAAATGTTAAATGTTAAATGTTAAATGTTAAATGTTAAATGTTAAATGTTAAATGTTAAATGTTAAATGTTAAATGTTAAATGTTAAATGTTAAATGTTAAATGTTAAATGTTAAATGTTAAATGTTAAATGTTAAATGTTAAATGTTAAATGTTAAATGTTAAATGTTAAATGTTAAATGTTAAATGTTAAATGTTAAATGTTAAATGTTAAATGTTAAATGTTAAATGTTAAATGTTAAATGTTAAATGTTAAATGTTAAATGTTAAATGTTAAATGTTAAATGTTAAATGTTAAATGTTAAATGTTAAATGTTAAATGTTAAATGTTAAATGTTAAATGTTAAATGTTAAATGTTAAATGTTAAATGTTAAATGTTAAATGTTAAATGTTAAATGTTAAATGTTAAATGTTAAATGTTAAATGTTAAATGTTAAATGTTAAATGTTAAATGTTAAATGTTAAATGTTAAATGTTAAATGTTAAATGTTAAATGTTAAATGTTAAATGTTAAATGTTAAATGTTAAATGTTAAATGTTAAATGTTAAATGTTAAATGTTAAATGTTAAATGTTAAATGTTAAATGTTAAATGTTAAATGTTAAATGTTAAATGTTAAATGTTAAATGTTAAATGTTAAATGTTAAATGTTAAATGTTAAATGTTAAATGTTAAATGTTAATGTTAAATGTTAAATGTTAAATGTTAAATGTTAAATGTTAAATGTTAAATGTTAATGTTAAATGTTAAATGTTAAATGTTAAATGTTAAATGTTAAATGTTAAATGTTAAATGTTAAATGTTAAATGTTCCCTGTTCCCTGTTCCCTGTTCCCTGTTCCCTGTTTCCCTGTTCCATGTTCCCTGTTCTGTTCCCTGTTCCCTGTTCCCTGTTCCCTGTTCCCTGTTACCCTGTCCCTGTTCCCTGTTCCTGTTCCTTTCCTGTTCCCTGTTCCCTGTTCCCTGTTCCCTGTTCCCTGTTCCCTGTTCCCTGTTCCCTGTTCCTGTTCCCTGTTCATGTTCCCTGTTCCTGTTCCCTGTTCCCTGTTCACTGATTCCCTGTTCCCTGTTCCTGTTCCCTGTTTCCCTGTTCCATGTTCCCTGTTCCCTGTTCCCTGTTCCCTGTTCCCTGTTCCCTGTTCCCTGTTCCCTGTTCCTGTTCCCTGTTCCTGTTCCCTGTTCCCTGTTCCCTGTTCCCTGTTCCCTGTTCCCTGTTCCCTGTTCCCTGTTCCCTGTTCCTGTTCCCTGTTCCCCTGTTCCCTGTTCCCTGTTCCCTGTTCCCTGTTCCCTGTTCCCTGTTTCCATGTGTTTCTTTAACTACCTGCCATGTGTCTGCATTTGCGTGCATGCTTTTTGCAACTACTGTTTATATGTTGGAAAGCTCGTATGTTAAACTTATAAAAAGTTTAGTTGACCGGGTTAGTTGTTGCAGCAGCAGGTCGTGCCGCCGTCTGGCTGGGTGTGAGTGCGTGTGTGATGGACTACGGTTGGAGGACTGCAGTCTCCAGTCAGCCAGTGCTCTTGCATGTTTTATAGCTTTGACCTTAATCCCATCGTGACCAGAGTTCTTTGCCTCTATATGTATGTGTGTGTGTCTGAGTCAGAGTATGTGACGTGTGAAGGTGTTTGTCTTTGGGGCTATTGTTTTGATGGTGTTGCTAAAAGGTGAGCACCCGCAGGCCGAAATGTTTAAGCAATATTTGAATACAATAAAAATGCTAGCAAAATGAACAATCGATACTCAGCTATCGGTTGTTGCGTATCGAAAAAGTCTTCCTTTAATATAAAACATTACAAATATAAGTGAATGGGAAATGGGAATGGAATCGAATTAAATAAGCCATTATCCAATATAAAATATCGATTAATTTATCGATTAACCAATCGAAAATTCTTTTCTTTTGTGTATAGTTACAAATTTCTAAGAATATAAGTAAACTGAGTAAATCATTAAGATATTCCTTAGAGCAGAGTAGGCAAAGGACGTTTAATACCGCGAATACCCTGTAAAATGTGAGGGTACATGCTGGCCGATAAATTTGAATAATTTCATTGATTCCCAATCTGCAAGTGAATACCCTGACCATTGCTTAGAAGTCATGCATATCGCTTTGAATGCATTTCTTTGCAACTCCTCGTGTTCGCTTCTCAATTAGACTTTGGCTTGAATTTGAATACATATTTTGCCAGCAGTCTATGAGAATCGAATCTCTAGCTGAAATTGTAGTCGTAAGTTAGGCTGTTGCCTTCGGGCCATTGGGGCCTTTGTGCATGTGGGGCCAAACATATGTTAGCTGAATTTATTGTTATTGAATGGTCAAAGACTCAAAGTGAGTAGAGCCAAATAGACACACACAAAAACAGACACCGAGAAACAGAGAGAGATAGAGACAGAGACAGAGACAGAGACAGAGAGAGAAAGACCGATTGTGTAAGGGAACATTTGAAAGTCCAAGCAGGAGGCAAACATGCTAAATTATGTATATTTTAATCTTGGGCTTATCGCACTCATTAACACCTGGGCTAACAAACTAGGCAAGACTCGAGGGCCAAAACGGCTTTACAAATTTCAACCTAAGCATACCTATTCACACCTGCATGCGCCCTGTATAAACACCTTTTGAGGAGCTGCTTTTTATCCGCTTCGCATCCGGATTCTGGTTGAGTGTGCATAAACTAATAAAGCTTATCTCGCTTGCTTAGCCACACGTAGCCATGCTTTACAGGTGGGTCAACAGCACTCACTGTGTCAAGGTGAGGCCACAAAGACCAGGCTAGAGCCAATAAATGAGAGTCAATAAAATCCATTCGGGCCAACTGCAATTGGCCAACAATATTGCCAATTACAAATTTGTCGGCTTCAATTGAAAGCCTTACAATTGCAGCTCAGGCATTAAATGAAAATCAAATGAAATCCAATTCAGGTGCGACTAAGAGAGCGAGAGAGAGAAAGAGAGAGAGAGAGGAAGGACAAACGCTTTGCTGCTTCGACAAAATTTTAATTAAAATCCTTTTGCTGCAGTCCGTGCTTAATTAATTGTACTTTA